TGGATATTATGTGACCCAACATGTGACCATTAAAGTCTGGGAAGCATAACATTGCATTGTATCAGTGCATTTTGATTGAGTCTACATTCTCATAAAGCAAGTTAATGCACTAAAATAATATGCAATGTAAACCTATGCATTTCCACTAAATACTTGTTTGAAACTTTCAGTGCATACAAGTTTACTCATGAGCACTTTTCAATTTTATGACTTAGAAAATGTGGCTTGATAAAGTGTTTGTTCAGTTTGTGCTTGCATTATTGGGAAGCTTGGCCTTCTTTTACTACTGTCAGTTTCATGTCTCTGTGTTTCAGGGGGTCCGCCATGTTCACTGGGGTCCCCCTTTTGTTAATGTGGTGGTAAGTTTAAGCAGTCACCGGTTGGTGTATTAAACCCGCATGACGATATCCTTGCTAATAGGGGTGGTTTCACATGATAAAGACAGAGAGTCAGCTAAAACGATCTTTTTAATTGATAATGGAGAAGTTTCTAAACTCCAGTAGTCTGAACAGTGCTGATCATTTCATTTTTTGCATATTTTTCAAAATAGACTTGTTCTTTTCTATTATGTGAAGTAGTGTTAAGGCAAATTTATTGGAGAAGAGAATCCATTTGCATGAGCCAGCAGCTCAATAAAATGTCATTTTTCAGCCAAGAGATAATAGCTGAATCTTTTTTTTCTGCTTTGGATCCTCAGAAGTCACATGCTAAGGTTTCTGAATGTTCAGAAATAGTCAAATGCAGCTTGATTGGAGTTTAGAGTCTTTGTATCCAAGGTTAAACCGGGACGGTTCATCAAGTCCGACAGCTCCTCATCACCGGCCAATGAATATGAAGACAAATAGTTATTGACTCCACCTTCAGCGTTCTGACTTTGGGTGGGTGAGCGCTGGAGTATTATTGGGGAGCATTAGCTTATCCTCAGCCCAATCTAGTGGTAGAGGGATGGTGATCGGTGCAAGCGGTAATGGCGCTCAATAGAAGGTGATATGTCACTGAGATGCATTCTTCATTAATCACATGCAGACGGAGCGATCACTATGCTATTAATCACCCAGACAGAGTTGAGTGATAAGAGAATGAGTGGGAGGTTAGAGAATCAAAAGTGTTTGTGGACTCAACGTAATGGGTTTGTTCCTCAATTCAAGACATAATACTAAAATTCTAATTTTTTAGAATCTTTAATTTAAACAAACTACCACTGTATCATCATTGGATACTAGTGCGATCATACACCTTGTTTGGACGTCTTGGCAGCACCATAATATTTTATGAAAGTACGATAACATACATGGTACCAGCAAAGCACTTCTTTGTTATTGTTTTTAAACATAGTAATACTGTAATATTTTTGGAAGCACTTCTAAAGTTTGGGGTTGATAAGATTGTTTAATATATTTGAAATAAGTCTCTTATGCTCACCAAGGCTGCATTTATAAAAAAAATAATAATAAAAAATAATAACAATAATATTGTAAAATATTTGACCAACTTTTCTTTTACTAATTCATTTATTATTTTTATTTTTATTATTATTATAAATGTCATTTCTTCACATTTTTTTTATAATTATATGTCATTACTGTCATTTTTAGTCAATTTAATACATGTATGCATTTAAAAGACTTTATTCCTGCTTTCACAAATTAAGGCCTTGAAAGGTCTGTAAGATTGTAAGTCAAGGCATTGAATGTTGCATGCACTCAAAAAAAAAAAAAAATCTTCCTCAGTATTTTTGTTTTATTTTCCAATACAAATATCTAAATATCCTTAAATCAAGATACATTTACTTGAGATGCCATATTAAGCTAATAAGTCTTGTTTTCTGAAAAATGTTACAAAATGAAACAAATTTATGCTTAAAATAAGAACAACTATCTATCAATGGGGTATGAAAACTTGTTTTCCCTTTGAATTAAGTAGATTTTTCTGAGCCCATTGGCAAATTTTTGTTCTTGTTTTAATCATAAGCACACTACATTTTGTTCAGTTTCTCATAAAACAAAACTTCTTATTACAAAGTAATGGAGATCTGTTGGAAGTTGTATTTTCACACTTTGAAGTATTGCTAAGACAAGACATTTACATTTAGAGATGCATTGTTCCCTTCAATTTGTAACTTAAATTTCTTAAAGAATGTCTTAAAAAGTTTTACATTTACAGAAACCCTTGAATAAAAGTAAAAAAAAACTTTCTGAACCCAAACTCTTAAACTGCAGTGTACCTTTCATGTGAAACCACCATCTTTGTTCCTCCTTCCTGTTCTCCACCCAGTCTGCTGTCTAATCCCGTTACCTCGCTGGATCTTCTCTTGCTCGGCAAGTTAATCAGATTACACCGTGGGTTCCTTGAATAAAAAAAAGCAAATTTTGTGTTTTAATGAAAGGCAGCCCGGAGCTACCCTGAGGGTCCCTAACCTCAGCTCACCCTCACTGCTGGCCTGTGTGGAGGGGGTGGAGACGGCCGTGGCTTTAGGGTCTTGTTCTAGAGGCTGTTTTCTTTGTCTTGGACTGTAGACCCAAGCTCCCTTGTGATTGTTGTCTGATTAAGACGTTCAGCGCACTGCCTTTGAAGATGTCAGAGAGGTTCTGTGTGTGTGTGTGTGTGTGTGTGTTGTTGTTGTAGGAGTTGTACACCTAAAATCAAGGTGATATTTCAACGAATGTGAATATGATTATGTTACGAACATATTGACTGATGCAAGGAGAAATTAGACTTTGACATTGTCTTCAGATGCTAGTGTGCTGTGAGTGTTGCTATGCGGTTGCTAGGGGGTTCTGGGTGGCCACTAATGCTTTGTTATGCAGTGTCGTAGTAAATGCAGTGAACTCCATTTCTGCATGTGCTGTGATTTTAACATGCATTTGGAAATCTTTTCGTAGACAGACGATTACAGATAGATTTGTAATGAGACACGTTTCTAAACTTGCTCTCACAGAAACTTAAAAGACCTTCCAGCAGTTTTTAGCCCAAATAATATCTTCACTTGCAAGAGTTAAAGCCTTCAGCTTTACAGACCAGTGTATTGTAATTTTACTACTGCAATGTGAATTAAAATGATTTTACAGTGCAGTTGTATTACAATAGTAATGTGTTTGACTTAGAAATAATAATAATTAATAATAATAATATCATCATTATTATCATTGTTGTTGACATTATTATTATTATTAATAAATAAATTTTAGATACTTTTTATTTTATTTTATGCCCTTAATGCCCTGTGGTATCGAAAGTGGTATTAAATGTTTATTTATTTCAAATATTGTAAGTTAGAAATGCCAGTATCATGACAACACAGTTCTTAGCCTTTATTTTTAGATTTTCAATTAAATATTAATTCGCTTTTAGTAATTTTTTGTAATTTTGTTGTTATATATGTATATATATAAAATATGTAAATATTATATTATATGTATGTGTTATATATTTTACATACATATATAATATGCATGTGTGTATGTATATATATATATATAAATGTAAATATGTGTGCGTGTGTGTATATGTTATATATTTTTAGGTTTTAATGTTTTAAATATTTTCTTCACTTTAATCTATTTTTATTTCAGTTTTAGTTTAAATTTTTTTTATTTAAGTTTTTCATCTGCTACTGCTATTTTATTTTAGTTTAACTTTATTTCAATAACCGAATTTATCTTTCTTTCTTTAAAATAGTTGTAGTTTTTGTGTTAGTTATCAATAATGACTGGTTTACCGCGTTGCTTTGTGGGTGTTCTGGATTGTTTCTCGGAAGTTGCTATATGGTTGTTAAGATTTTGTCATTACAGTGTTGTTGCTAGGGTGTTCTGGGGGGTTGCTAGGTGGTTGTTGTTTTTTATCATTTGTGGTTGCATTTTATTGTCCACCAGGCAAAATTTGCTTTCTTTAAAGAATCACACATCTGAGACGTCATTGATTGAGTATTTAAGAAATACTGCTCCATGTGTTTTGCACCAAAGATTAGTGGTCAGCGGTTTGTTCAAATCAGTGTGAGCAATAGTAATAGTGATCCATGCCTTAACAAGCCCCACTAATAAGGACGATGCAGCGGTTGAAGTCAGTGGGAGGTGAACACGTAAATCAATAATATCGACTGTTTAAATTGACTTTTCATTTTTAGTTTCCCTCCGTCTGGATTCTAGCAGTTGCTGTCCCGTTCTTCTTCAAGTACCTTTTGATATTTTCCTGCCATCTCTCAATTTATGCGTGTTAGTCACATGCATACAACACGTATACCGTCGTCAAGGCATTGATCAGAGTGAAGACAGAAAAAGTGTTGCTTAGGCTCAGCAAAGGGGGTTTTAGAGTCATTTTTCATGAGAAACATAATCTCTTAGGAGAAAGGGAGCCTGAGAATCAGTCCTTCGGTTCATTGATGATTCCCGTGTGTCTGGAGAGACAGCGAGCAGGAGGCAGATGACAAGAATGATGCTTCCCCATGTAAAGAGCCATCATCCCCGCTAATGACTGTGCTCCAACTGAGTCTTAACGTCGGAACAAAAGAACGAGGCTTTCATCTGTTTTTCCCCACCATGCGGAATAGTACGGTGTGAATGCATTTAAGCACACTTTGATATGGTGATATCCTAATACCTTTCATGTCCATCCAGTCAGTCTGGGCTTATTGTTGCCGCGAGTAGCGTGTTTGTGTGTGTCGCATGTGGTTTGTATGACAGTATAAAGTCTACGGTGTTCCTCCTCTGGGTTGCAGACGCCCAGACAGTGACAGCTGTAGCTTCTTTGTCTTCTGAGAAGAATCCATCAGGATGCATCATTCTGTGGCCTCACGTCTTCATATTGACACATGTTTCCGTATCCGTCTTGACTAGTACTGTCTGACGGGATTGCCTTTGGCTTATAAACATTTCTAACTATGTCATATGGTTGCTTTTATCCTTTTGTCATTTACAGTTCGGGTTCAGCATATTTTTTCCCCCCCAATGTATTCTGTTCTCTCACAGAATTTATCTTTCTTTTTTTAGTATCTAGAGTTTTCCAACTAAAACATGCACAGTTGTACAAAAAAAAAAAAAGATTCCCATTTCCATTTTTTTTCAGGATTCTTTGATGAATAGAAACAGTATTTGTTTGAAATAGATATCTTTTGAAACGTTATACATGTCTTTACTGTCATTTAATGCATCCTTGCTGAATACAACTATGAATTTATTTCGTGAAATGGTTGTGTTTGTTGCTTACATTCAGATACTAAGCATCAAGTTGTGTTGCACCACTTTTGACAACAGTAAAAATGCAAAACAATATGCCCAGCAGGCAGGGCCGCATTAAGACCTCAATGGGCCCCGGGGCTATGACTTACTGCAGGGCCCCCCGTCACAATAATGATATACCTTAACATAGGATTTTTATCCAATCAAAGTTTCATAATTCTTGTTACCAATTCCAATATCATATTTGGGTGTACTTCATTTCCCTAACCTTGTTTTCTGTCCTGGATGGCAAATGTTCCAAATGTTGGCATCCTGTTGAGCAACATGCTTTTAGAATACCCATATTTGCTAAGACATTTTTTCCCAATCAGCATCTTCCAGATCAATGTTTTGTTGCTTTTTTTGGTCTCTAAAATAATTCTCTACTTTTTCGCCCTCTGTTTTAGGAAGATGAAGAAAGCAGTCAAACTGTCACCAGAAACGACTCTCCTGTTCATCTTCGTCCAAACAGCAACCACACCAACAGTTCGGCACCACCATCCACAGCAAGCAATCGCATGTACGAGGCTGCTCCTGGTAAGTACACACTGCCACTGATATAATTGCTTTAGGTCGTGACTTAATGTTGCTGTACTATTAATTCCTGCTTCATAGTCCGCTCCAGAATTCAACTGGATCATGTGGCGGATTCCACTGGTGGTCGCCAAATCACATTGTGTGAATCCATCTTAACTTGTTGACTTCATTCTAAATGCACACCAAGTAATTGCTTTTATATAATGTTAAGTGATTTCATCTAAATTCTCTCACTGTTAAAGAAACCAATGAAATTGATCAGCGCTCCAAAACAGAAAGAAAGCGAGCGTTCATCACCAACACCATGTGAAGAGTGCTTTGCTTCTCTGTAAGGGGACAAAATTAGTTTATTTTCTCTGCCGCCTCATTTTCCATGCCAGCGTAGCTTTCCATTAGCTTTTTCGACTTCTACAAGTTGGAAATCCGCCCATCTCATCAATACGGATGGAAAAGCCAATGACGATATTTTTGCTACATTCTCTTCCGCTTTTATGCAATGCGGCCTGACCTTGAAATCATTAAGCTGATGAAATGGATTCTAAGTGGGCCTTATTAGCATACTCGCAATTGTGCCGAGTGCTCGAGAACAGATAACAAACTGTTTTAAATTCACACTATTCTTTCCCGCCGCTCTCCAGAGAGTTGCCCGTGCCAACACAAAAGGCTTTTTCCGTGTTTTTGGGAAACCATTGTTTACTGATTAGCGTCTCTTGTCCGTCAATGCATGTGACTGTACTTTAGTCGCACAAAGAGCGGGATGTGATATTTACGCACGTCTCATTTTAAATTCAGATTGCTTTCCACACTCGCTGCCGTTAGATTTGGTCAAATCTGAAAAATTGAAAACACCAAACCCGGCATACAAGTGTGCTAGTTTTAAAGAAGTGTAGTTTTAATCACATGTTTCATGGCACTGCATATATATGACACAGTCATTCTGGACCCGCTTTACAATAGATGGCTAAATGGTGGAAGGAACGGGGACAGTAGTGCAGAAAATTGAGTCGTAATGGAGGTATTTCAGACTAGTGCTGCTAACATTGATCAGAACGTTGTGTGGTCATTGAGAAGGCCTCAATCTATTTTTCACATGTTAGATGATTCAAAACTCAGTGAACGTGGCCAAGTGTGTCTTATTCCTCAAAATAGGAGGAATAACTTGCTTTCAAGTCATTTTTAAACCTGTATGACTTTCTGTTTCTCAGTGAAATGCCTATACAATAGAAGAGAACTTAGAAAGTTGAGCTAAAAAATAAGAAAAACATGAGTCTTCTGAAGCCATACAATGGCTTTGTGTGATGAACATCAGCTTTAATATTAGTATATAACATTAAAACTCATATTTCCAAACAGCTCCTAACAGACCCCCTGGCGGACCACAGGAGCTGCCGGAGGAAGATTACGATGAAGACGATTTCCCCTCTCCACCTTCTGATCTGGACCTGCTGGAAACAAATCCTCCACACAAACACCAACAAAATCGGTTAGTTATAGTGCTCAAAGAGTAAAGCCGGAGATAACAGCCACAGTTCATTGGTTTTCTTTAAGAGCTCTTATTGTGAATGCAAATAATCTAGTACTTTGATCAGTGCTCGGTATTGCATCCTGAAGCCTTATTTCAAAGGTTTGAAAACAATGATACCATGCAGAAGAATTATTTATGGCATTATCTAGTTGTACCATCAACTATTCAGTCAAACACCCAATTGTAACCACTTATAGACTTACATATTTATATACAAACACACACACAAAGAAAGATTCGTTTACAGTATAGGTAGACATGAATGAAATGAATGTTGGTTGTAAATACTTTGTCATTCAGTACTAAAACATATCAATAAATAATTCAATGTATATTGTTAGTTACATATTAAATATTGACTATTTTATCCAATATTTCTGTTACAAAGATTTTTTTTAATAAATTCTCAGAACTTTCTCAGAAAAGACATTTATAATGTTACAAAAGATTTCAATTTCGAATAAATGCTGCTCTTTTGAACTTTCTTTTGTTCTTTTGAACTAAAGCAGCACAACTGTTCAACATTCTTGAGCAAAAAATCTGCATATTAGAATGTTAGAATAATGATGCTGAAAATTCAGCTTTGCATCAATAAAATATATTATTAAAGAAAACTTTTAAATTGTAATAATATATCACAATATGACTGTTTTTACTGTATTTTTGAGCATATCAATTCAGCTTTGGTGAATATAAAATATTTTATTCAAAAGCATTTTACTCACAAACATTTGAGAGGTAGTGTATGTGTTTTTATGCTTGTAGTATATAGCGTATATGCTTGATTAGAGTGTTGCATTGTAAGATCAAACTGACTTTGTGTGATATGTGTCTTGTAGGGCTGAAATGGAGCCGGTTTCCTACAAACCCACCAACCAACAATACCCTCAACAACACAAAGTCCCAGATTACCCCACCAACAAGTCCTCCAAGAGCATGGATTTAGGTATGGAAACACACACACACACACACACACACATACCACATTTACCAGAAACTACCTACAAAATAATCTCCAGATAGAATAAACTACATCTTGTGGACTAGATGCATTTTGACCAGTTAAAAATGCATTTAGTTTACTATACTGGGACTGTACCGTCTCTGTGCTGGCAGTGACTTAATTTAAATACAGAGCAATGCAATTTCAGTGTATTTAACGCTTGGTTAACTTGGACTGTGGGTGGTTAGTTAATAAGACGCAGGTTTTTGAGGTGAAATATTTTGCGCTAAAGCCTTGTAGACCTAGAAGACTTTTTTAAGATTTTTGTCTGTTTATCTGAACACAGTGGAAACCTTCAGTGCAAAATAAAGCCCTATAGCTACACATTTCCCAGTATTAGCCACGGATGACCCCGATAACTTGTCCTCTCTCTTTTCCACCACCTTCAGAAACAGGAGGGATATTTCAGTGCTCCACAATGGGAAGTTTTCGCCCGTTTCCAATTACATTTCATTAGAGTGGAGTATTGGCTTCAGCTCCACTGCCACTGTGCTAATCTCCTCACTGCTGAAAGCTGATTGGTTTTCATTACACACATCTCATAGTGTCGTGCTTTGCTGCCATCTTTTATCCCCCATCCAGACCTTTTCCCCTCTATTTATTTCTTTATCTCTCTCTCTCTCTCTCTCTCGCTTTTTCGTTTTGTTCTTTAAGTTACTCTTTCAATTTTTCTGTATAGGCCTTGTGGCCCGTGGTTCAGTTAGTGTTTCTTTTTGTCCTTTTTCATTTCTTTTTGTCCTCTTTTATTTCTTTTTGATAAATTTGTACATTAAGATAAATAAATATACATCTAAAAAAAAAATCTAAGTCATATTGTTACAAAGGCATTAGCATTTGTAATTCACTATAAGTATTTCTATTTTTTGACTTTTATAAATTGTATAGATAGATAGATTCATTTATTAAAAGAAAAGGAGTAATATTCTTTATTTGAATATATTAATCAATAAAATCAATTTAACGAACTCTGATGCATATATGTGATTGCTTATATTTTGCTTAAACGAAATAATTTAAAATGTTCTGTTTCAAGGCTTAACTTACAAAGCTGTATGATGTATGCAAGTTTTAGCAACGATTTCCATCAAAGTGATTGTTTTTGGAGGGTTTTTGGGTAATGGATTTCCACTCAGGGTCACAACTAATGTGACTGAAGGTGGGAGCAATTTCAGATATTTACTCTAGCATTAACCGCTGTTAGCGTAATACAGGTAATTTATATCCAAATACAAAAATAGCCAACGTATTTATTAATCTTAATTTACAAACATTCTGCAAACCTTTAAAGTAATCTATCCATCACCCAAGGGTCCACTTTTCTTATCCTCAAGGCACATAATTTCAGTCTGGCTAACGCTTTCCTCCGTGATATTGCGAAACGTTGAAAGACAAAGGTTTTTCTCAGTCAAGCATGGTCCCTATGAGAGGTTTGGCTGGAGTTCTGGAGGCTAGCGTTTGGAGTTCAGAGTTTTGGCTCTGCTCGAGTCTCTCTGAAAGAGCTTTATTCTGCCAGTCGCATCATTAGCAGCTGTATGTGTTTTTCTGGGCAGGCGTTCATGTGAAAATGCTCTTCATTTCTCATTTGCTGATTGCTTTCAGGCCATTTACCTTTACTTTCATGCAGAAGTGCAACACACCAGCCAAATGTGGTTTTATCAGAATATGTAGTACTATTTTTTTATTTTTCTCCTTAACATTTTAGTAAAAAAAAAAGTTTACTGACTGGTTTCTACGGTGTTCGGGTGGTTGCTAGGGTGTACTGCATGTTGCTAGGGCATTCTGGATATTGCTGTGCTGTTTTGGCTGGTATCTAGGGTATTTTGCATGTTGCTAGGATTTTCAGGGTTGTTGCTAGGGTATTCTGGGTGGTTTCTAGGATGTTTTTGGTGTTGCTTTGTTGTTTTGTGTGTTGTCTAGGGCATTTTGTATGTTGCTGGGATGGTCAGGGTGCTTGTTAAGATAGTGCTATGGTATTTTGGGAGGTTGCTAGTCCATTGTGGATGCTGCTAGGGTTTTAGGTTTTGCTGGGATGTTCAGGGTTGTTGCTAGCCTGCATTGCTAGGGGATTCTGGGTGTCTTCAAGGGTATTCTGGATGTTGCTGTGGATTTTTGGGTGTTTCTAGGGCATTTTGCATGTTGCTAGGGTGTTTTTAGTATTGCTAGGATGTTCAGAGTTGTTTCTACTGTTGATAAGGGAAGGCTGCTAGGGTGTTCAGAGTGGTTGCTAGGGCATTGGTTGGTTCTGGGTGGTTTCTGTGGTGTCCGGATGTTTCTGTAGTGTTTTGGATGGTTTTTAGGGTGGTGTTTAGGGTTGTTGCTAGGGTGTTGATAAGGGTTTCTGGCTGGCTGCTAGGGTGTTCTGGGTGATGAGTGATTGCTAGGGCATTTTGCATGTTACTAGGTGGATGTTAGGGTGTTTTATGTGTTGCTCACATGTTCAAGGCTGTTGCTGGGGCATGGCTAGGGTGTTGAGGATTGTTGCTAAAATGTTTTGGTTGGTGGCTAGTGTGTTTGGAGTTGTTGCTAGGGTGTTCATTGTTGCTATGGTGTTCTGGCTTGTTGATAGGGTGTTTGGGGTGGTTGTTTGGATGTTAAGGGTTGTTGCTAAGGTGTTGTTCAGCATGGTTTCTAGTCTGTTCTGGCTGGTTTCCAGGGTGTTAATTTTTGCTAGGGTGTTCTGGCTGGTTGCTATGGTGTTTAAAGTGGTTGCTTGGGTGTTCAACATGGTTGCTAGGGTGTTCATCATTGCAAGGGTGTCTGGTTTGTTGCTAGGGCGTTTGGGGTTGTTGCTAGGGTGTTCTGGTCTGTTCTGGCTGATTTCCAGGGTGTTAAAGTGTTAGTTCACCCAAAAATGCTGAATTTTTTCTAGGGAGTTCTGGCTGGTTGCTAGGTTGTTCAGGGTTGTTGCTAGGGTGTTCAAGTTTGTTGCTAGGGTTTTCAGCATGGTTTCTAATCTGTTCTGGCTGGGTTCCAGGATGTTAATTTTTGCTAGGGTGTTCTGGCTGGTTGCTAAGGTGTTTAAAGTGGTTGCTTGTGTGTTCAGGTTTGTTACTAGGGTGTTTAGCGTGGTGTCTAGTGTGTTCTGGCTGATTTCTAATGTGTTCATTGTTGCTAGGTTGCTCTGGGTGGTTGCTAGGGTGTTCTTGCCGGTTGCCACTTTGTTCTGTGTGGTTTGCTTGAATGTGTTATCATGACTGAGCAAATAATAATAGTGCTGCCTGACTTAGCAAACACCGTGAACTGCATTAATATGAGTATTTGAGTATAATGTGATCGTGAAGGATGTTTTTGCAGGCCTTCATGTGTGTGTGTGATGTTTGCGTGTGTGTTTCTGCATGCATGAGTGTGACATTGTGCCTGTGTTTTGTTGAGTGTGGATAATCCAAATTTGTAGGCGCTGTCAAGCATTCAGTGCCAAAATATAATTTTTTTCTCCCTTTTTTACTCTTCTGTACCTATTTTTTCCCCCATCAGCCCTGTCTGTGTTCTCTCACATACGTGTCCATATGTACACACACGCGTGTGAACCCACACAAGCCTCTCTTCCAGTGTTATTTCTCTGCTGGGGAAATTGAGCTCATAAAAGATGAAAAGGCTTATTTAAGAGAAATTGCAGTGTAATGAAACCCCATTATTGTATCCCATGGTGCAATGCCTGTGGCAGCAGCTGCTCTTCACTGCTCAATCCTGTTTGTGCGGATTAGTCGTTCTCTCTCTCACACACAGAGACACACTTTCTTGTTTTCACCACTCAGGCCCACACACACTAATAATTCCTTGTTTTCCTCCACGGGTTGCTACTGTAAATGTCTTAGATGTGTTGTCGTGGTTTTCATAGATGTAGTCGCTCATATGCATTGCAAAAATCCGTTGTTTTGTTTTCCAGAAGAAAATTCTGAGCAATCTTAAAACAAGACACATTTGATTTTTTAAGCATTAAAAATGACCCAGTAAATAATAAGTGTCAGTAAATAAATGTATTTCTTTTTTTTTTATGTTATACTATTTTTAAAATAAATGCTGTTCTTTTGAACTTTCTATTCATCAAAGAATCCAGAAAAAAGGTATCATACCTTACACAAAAACATTAATCAGCACAACTGTTTTCAACATTAATAATTATACGAAATATTTCTTGAGCAGCATATCAGCTTATTAGAATGATTTCTGAAGGATCATGTGACACCACAGTATAAAAAAACCTGTCACAGGAATAAATTACATTTTAAATTATATTCAAATAGAAAACACTTATTTTAAATTTTAAAATTAAATGCTAAAATTGTAAATTCTAATAATATTTTACAATATTACTATTTTTGCTAAAAAATATATACACTAAAATAGTGTGTGTATATATATATACAGGTATGTATGTATGTATGTATGTATATATGTATATATATATATATATCCTGTTTTTTTTTCTTTCTTATGAATTTTGCTTACAATGTAAGTCGAGCCGTTCGAGTGTTTGTGTTTGTTTGTGTGTGTGTGTACATGTGTAGTTGTGTGTGTTTAGGCAAACCACAGATGTTCTCAGCTGTACAGAAGCGTAACTGGCCCTGCACAGCCTTTCCTAATTAAAACCAAGTGTGGCTACTTGCAGGAGAGAGAGAGAGATGGAGCTAGATCCATACATCAGGTCACATGTGGAAAAAGCTAGAGTTAAAGAGATCTCTACAAATCCAATGTATTATTTTGTCAGTGCAGTTTTTTTTTCTTATAAAGGTTCAGTTTAAAAGACATAAGTCATGCTAGGACTCAAATGCATTACAATGGCTTATTTATTCCAGGGTAAATATAATCCTAAATATAATATAAGTCCTATAAAATCAAAACTGAAAGGGATTGTCAACCCAAAAATAAACATTTTGTCATCATTTACTTACCCTCATGTTGTTCTAAACCTGTATGAAATGATTTCTTCTATTCAACAGAAAAGAAGATATTTTGAAGAATGCTGGTAACCAAAAAGTTACTGGGAGCCATTGACTTCCATAGTATTTTATTGCATACTGAAAGTCAATGGGTACCATCAATTGTTTGGTTACCATCATTCTTTAAAATATCTTCTTTTGTGTTCAACAGAAGAAAGAAACTCATACAGTTTTGGAACAACTTGAGAGTGAGTAAATTATGACAGCATTTTTATTTTTGTTGGAACTATCTCTTGAAGTTTTGTGGCTTATACCACAAAGAAGCCTAAACCAGTATAAGATGGTCTTAGGTGGTCTACTGGTCAGACTAGGAGATCATCTAAACCAGCTTGACTAATTTGGAAGACCAGGCTAAGATTGGCTTAGACTAATTTAAGCTACTTTTCTCTGCATGGTAGTAGATATCTGGATGCTAGCGTCAGCTTAAAATCAACTTACAATAGAAGCGTAAATGCATGCAAGTGTTTTAAAAGCATTACGGCAACACTTAAACATTACACTTGTTAACATGAGCCTGTTGTGAAGTTATATCCAGTCTGGAATGTCTACTGGGCGACACAAATAAGTGTTTGAGGAGCTGATGGATGTTTTGTTTGTGTGTTTCAGTGGCAGATGAGAGTAACATGGCTTCCATTCAAGGACAGAGACCTGGTAAGGAACTTGAACACGAACACACACACATACACACACACACACACAGCACATATTAAAGCCACGCACCACATGAGAATGATATTTTACTATGGTTAAGGAGTTTTGTTAGGCATGTTAAGCCGAGTTGGTTGGAACCGTCTTAACTGTGGTAACATGTGCTTTATTTTAATGAACAGCAGCAACAGAAATATGATAAAAGACGGCAATGTTCTATACCTGATTAATTTTATTCATAAACAATAAGTAAACAATTGCTCTGCCAAGTTGTTTAGTTTATCAGCCTTGCAACGTCAGTTCCACCATACTGCTTTAATAGCCAACATCTCATTTATGGTCAAGCGCTTCAAGGCTGGCCCAAGATCAAGCATGTGATCTGTAAAGCACTGTGTTAGTTGACTCACAGGCCAGTAATCTGACTCCAGATCAGTTGCTGTGTCTCAGCCAAGTCAAATGAAGATAAACGGAGGGTGACTGCTGGCCATTTGTAGCCTGTCAGTTGAGGTGAGAGAGTGAGTTGCTGCAGGCAGTGATTGAGTTAGTGGAGGAAACGGACAGACACAGTGAAAGCAGTGACCACACGCTACAAGACCACAGACACATGCAGGGTCTGTTCCAAAAATCTAGTTTTCAGTAAAAATAGACAATAATATACACTAGTCAACATCTGAAGTGGATCAAAACCTTTCATCAAAGTTGTCCTAAAACCAAAATGCATTCTTTTCTTAGGACAACTTTGATGAACTTTTTTGATCCACTTCAAATGTTGACTGCTGTATAGCATAATATAGCATTTTCAGTCTTAAAGACTACTCTGCAGATTTTTGAAAGTGACTTTTTATTATATGCTCTACCTATAAATTTCTAGGCATATATATATTTAAATCATGACAACTCTCGGAACATTTTAGCATGGTGATGGATATGAAAATGTTAATGCATTTGGTGTTGGCGGAATAGATCTGCTACGCTGCTGCTGCTGCTTAATTGCTGCTGCTGTTGGTTAATGCTGTTGTGTTAGATTATTGCTGCTGCTGCAAGCAAGTACAGGAACTTGCTACTGCCAATGCACATGGCGATACGGTGAAGTTTCATGACTGAACTATATACGTATATATTTATATATATACCAGTGGCGAGTGGTGACTTTTTTTAATCGGGTATGCTGAGTGATAAGACCCCCCCTACCTTATTTGTAAATGAAATTCATCTCCAATCATTCTTCTATCGTTTCAAGTTTTTCCATTATTCGAATGCAAGAAAAATATAGCTGGTTTTCCAAGTAAAAACCGCCAAATAACGTTTACACATAGTTACGTTATGATACGTAATCAGAGGGTGGGGAGATGGGGGGGATTCCCCTGGTCTATATGTATCTGCATCTGCTAAATGATTTTTTTATTCACAGTGAATAGGAGTTAAAACTCCCACCTGGGTGACACTACTCCAATAACAGACCATGCAAAAAGGAACAGCACATTTTTCCGCTTGGGCAAGCGCTTCACGGACAGCTTACCTCGTGCATTAAATCATCCGCAGACCAGCAAATCACTGAGAACACGCTACAATCCTGAAGAGTCATAGCAACAGAGTGGAGACGAGAAAGCTGCGGAGAATCCACTCGCCTGGAAGCAACCATGATGCTGATGTAGATTTACAGAAAATTACAGAAAAAGCAACTGATGTAGATTTACAGAAAATTACTGCCGTTTGGCAAATAAATAAAATAGAAATCTTTTCTAACAATATGCACTACAGTTCAAAAGTTTGGGGTAAGTAAATTTTTATTCTTTCTTTTTTTGAAAGAAATTAAAACTTTTATTCAGCAAGGATGTGTTAAATTGTTAAGAAGTGATGGCAAAGATTTATATTGTTAGAAAAGATAAATATTTTGAATAAATGCTGTTCTTTTTAACTTTGTATTCTGTAATGGCTGTATTTGAGTAATGGCTGATGGAAATTCAGCTTTGCATCACAGAAATAAATTATATTTTAAAGGATATTAAAATAGAAACCATTATTTTATATTGTAATAACATTTTGCAAGATTACTGTTTTTTTTCTGTATTTTTGATTAAATAAATGCAACCTTGATGAGCATAAGAGACTTCTTTAAAAACATTACAAGTCTTACTGATCCCAAACTTTTGAGTGGTAGTGTGTGCATGTGTGCATACATATATATATATATGTGTGTATGTATGTATATATATATATAACCAAATTATAATTTTTTTGAGATTTCAGCTAAGCAAAATTTTGTCTTGAAAAACACTTTTACACATTTTTGAAAGGGATTTTTAATATTTCATACTTTTTTTAATAATTATATATTCATATAATCTTTATTTACGTAAAACTGAAACTAAAATTTTACGTAAATTTTAGTTTCCCACAAACTTAAAAAAAAACTTAAAAAAAAAAAACATTTAACTGAAATAAAATATAGAAACTTTATTATTTCAGCTAGTGGCCAAGCATCTCTCATTTTAATTTAGTTTAGAAATCAGAAAATATAAAAATAAAAACATTTAAAATATTAATTAAAAACTGTAATAGTATCTCATTGATGCTTAAATAACATTTCAAGATTTTTTTATAATTATAAAATTAATAAATTTGAACTATAAACATATATATTTTATACAAAATATATTAAATAATTATTTTAAACTATTTTTAT